CCCCCCCCCACTCCTTGCAGACTCCCTGTCACAGTCAATAATGACCGATGCAACATAAATACCTCGGTTAGCTAGAGATTTCCTAACCGAAAAACGGCTGGATGGGGACATTGGAGCAAACGTGTTGGGAATATAGTGACTTTATTTGATTAAACACCAGTCCTGAATCGATGAATAAGGCAGCCACAATTACAGCCATTGAGCTGCAAGAAGGGTTAGGGTAACAAAAACCTTTAAACATCATACAGCCAGAACGCAGTATGACGGGTATTGTACATAAAATATAAATCATCTGTGCTTGTGTACGAATTAGCGGGTGGGACAGAACAGTGGCAGAAGTTAAGCACATGAATCAGGACCCTGCATGTATTATAATAACAGCAAAGGTCACCATTATTGACTAACCTGAACAAATGGCAAAAGGGGGCAGAACAGCGAGAGCCCTTCAGTGCTGCAAGGTAATGATCAATGTTAGTGTAATTCCCAGCTCAATAGATAAATGGAACAGTGTGAATTATAAAACTCTATGAATCCCAATGCTGTCAATGCCTTCAGATTTACATACATGATAAATTTTGTACTGCTTTTTTTTTTTTTAAAGATAAGCATTCTGCCTGTTACTGCTGTCCATAATGTTATTTTCTTTTAACCGTCCTAAAACGGGAAGCAATGTAACATGATTGAATGCATCCGGTACTAAGTCTGTGCCTTGGTCACTGGAAGGAGAAAAATAGGCAAAATGCTACAAAATATCTATTCTGAGCTGCTTTGAAGCAGTTAACAGGGAACTGAATAAAGCAAATTGTTTTACAATGTTTCAGTGAATACAAACAAAAGGCTTTCAATATTAAAGTCAATTTATTTATTTGTTTAGACAAATTGCTTACAAATTTACAGCAGCTTGTTTTTCTCAGTCCTACGCAGAAACAGGGAAACAAGCAGCCAGAAACAAAGTGGTCTCAGTACGCAGCTGCATACCTTCAGTTTCTGGTGCAAAAACACCCATCTGCACAAACAACTGATATCTGTGCGCTTGTGAGACATGTCAGAGGATGTGGTCACCCCCAGCTTCCACTGGAGGGCTACTTCCTGCGCTTCACCTGGACCCCGCCCCCTGGGGGATTCTGGGATCGGTTGCTTAGAGACCGTGCGGCCTGCACTACATCCAAGCGGCTCTTCAGCTCTTCCTCACAAGTCGCCACCAGGGCGGCGCTCCTTTCACTGCTCCAGCCGAGCGCTGACGCCACAGAGGCCACACCCACATTCACCACCATCTGTGTGGGGGGGGGGGGGGGGACGACAGCGAGACAGGCCTGCAGTGACACCCAGCAGAGAGTGACAGATCTGCTCCGGTTTTTAAAATGATCTTCTAAACATTTACATTTTATGGTCGCGATAAAGGGCTGTGGGGAAGATTAATCAGAGTGTTTTGGCTGAAATGTACTGAAGGGATCAGTGGTTTACTGTGTGGAATCTTCCAGAAGAAAACCAGGCTCCTGCTGACTGCATCCCAACACAAAATTCTGTCCACCACAATATGAGCACGACACACAAACATCAGATCTGGCCAATGGCATCCAGTCTTCCGCCTCCTCTTTGAAACAGGAAGATGTCCCCCATGACCTTTATTAAATCACACTTATGCTAAAAGCATTACCCCCCCCCAAAGTTTAACTATAAGGACTCGGCATATGCATGTCATTTCAGAAATAACGCAAGGACACCCTGGACGTATGATCATAAACGTGATACTCTGAATGCAAGAGGTCACCTCAGAAACCATCAGTTGCGGGACAAACAGGACAGGCGATGGAACATAATGAGGGAGCAGCACTGGAGTGACAGGCCCCAGAGCTACGGCGCCCCCTTTTGGAGGGAGTGCCTCCGACAGCCTCTCAAACAGCTGCAGTGAACCCTGGCAGAAACTCATCTGGTCACTGCACACGAGTGGAGAAATTGAAGTGAGAAGAGAGGAAGAGAGGAAGAGGGGGCCTGTGTCTCACTTAGGAATTACACCCTCGGGCAGCATACAAGAGAAACGTAATAAAACGAAACTCACAAGAACAGATCTCACTCCCGAAATGACAGAAACCAACTCGGGATGAGAAATACATCACTTTCAGGTCCTGGTAATGTCAGCTAGGCTATGATATGAGCTCCTCTAAAAATCAGCGGAGAAACAGCCTTATCGCGACGACCGCAGGGATTTATATAGGATCTGTAGAGTAACATCAGTCGGATGCGTTACAATAAACTGCATTAATGTTGCATAATGAATGGTTGTGTAATCATACGTGTATCACTCTACCAAATGGGTTCCCAACCCATAAGACACAAAAAAAATCCTACAAATATTTGCATAATGATAAATGCTGAATTGGCTGCCCCCTTCGATATCACAATGTCCAATATGGGTTAAATGCAGAAGACATATGTCACTGTGGTGCACTGTGGTATGTCAACAATGACAACTAATCACCTTCACTTCACTCTCAATGAGACTAGAGACAAGTGGACAGCGCCACCTTGTGTGCAGAGCTTGAAAGCTCATCTTCATATAAGAGGTCAGGTCACATGTCCCACAGGTACTTACAATGCGGGAGAAATCTAGAAACAGGGCTGTAAATCTAAGCACCCTGAAGTGTCAATCATTTATTCGGCAAATGGTTACTTCTCTATCCAATGTGTAAAACACTTACGCTTTGAAAATGCCAGTAACAGAAAAAAGGTGAAACCATCTGTCCAGATGGTGAGTGAAGTACCTGCAGCTCCTGGTTGGAGAGCCGTGTCTCAGGACTGGTCTTGCCCTTCAGGACCATCAGGGTCCTGGCGCTGAACGTCGACGTTCCATCCGCTGGCCGCTCTACTGAATCGGTCACATCTGCTGCAGAAAGGACACGTCTCTCACGCTCTGCTGTTACGTTCATGTCAACAGTGATCAGTGTTCAATGGCCTGATCAGATTAAGGTGCCCAATAAGGTTAGGGGGGGCGGCGACAGACACACCAAGGTCACCGGTGGGTCGAATTCAACGCGACGACCCTCCCTCATCCATACGGCTTATCTGCTATGGGGTCACAGTGTGTCACTCTCAGGCCACATGTTACATATTCTCAATAGTAAAGAAAAATACCCCGCCCCCCATGCACCCCCAGGTCCAAAATCTAGCCAGGATCTTCAGAACTCTGTTTTGGTCCTGCTAGAGATGCAATGCATGGGACTCTAAACTAAACTAAACTAAACTAAACTAAACTAAACTAACCCCCCCCCCCCCAAGAAGAAAGTTTTGTGCAGGGAAGGTTTCCATATCCTGATCTTTAACGGCTTGTCCCTGCACCCTTTAATATTTCTGATATTTAATAACTCTGTTCCCTTTTCGTAACAAAGGACTTAAATATTGATGACTTTAATAAATGGCGCCCTTTAAAGCTCCCCGCACATCAGGTTTTTTTGGAAAGCAGGGGCGCAGTTGTGAAGGGGGCGAGTGACAGGGGAGTAAATCAAAAGGATTAAATCACGGCGCAGTTAGGGGCCGCATTAGGGGCCGCAGTAGGGGCCCTTTCCTGCTGCCTGGGCTCAACCCCAAACTGACAGCCGCACAAGGCCCCCATCTCCAAGCCCAGTGCCCCTCACTGTAATTAACTTTCTATTAAAAATCACCCCTGCCGTTCACTGCCAAAACACATGACTAACTGCATACAGCTTCCTAACCTTTATCCAGTGCAGGGTCACAGTCACTCTAGAATTGGTCTGCAGACTGCACACAATAAGACACGATATGCACGCACTGGGCAATTCTGAAATGCCAATTATACTAACAGCATGCTTTTGGACTGCAAAAGAAACCTTGGAGCAATCCACACAACATGGGAACATGTAAACACCACACACACAAAGCAGGATTCAAGCCCCACACTCCTGTGCTACTCGGCTGCAGGTTAAGAAAACCCAAAGCTGGGCAAATCTCGTTCTCTGGCTCCACCTAGTGGACAGCTGACCTCATAGCCCCAAAACTGCAACTATGCTCATTAGGAGTAACATTCAGCTTCGCTGGTCACCACTGCGAAGATCCAATGTTGGATAGCTAATGTTGGCAAACATACCACTTTGCTTTAGCTCAAGAGGAAAACTATTCATCTTTTAACCGCTAATCCTGGTCAGAATTGCAGGGCGGGGGGGGGGGACATGAGACAGAGACACACTGTGTGCAGACTTCGAACCCCCAGCCCTAGAGTGTGTGAAGTGCTAGACTGTTACCTACTGAGACACCCCAGGTTAGCATACCATCCAAGGGGGTCTGCCTTGTGTTCTGAGCTTCCTGGGGAAGTTCCAGTACTGAGTATGAGGTTGGAAGATCGATGAATGGATTTTTGAGCTATGATCTTTCACTAAAAGGCGCTGAAGTTGCATTCATGGTCCTCCATCTTGCTCTTTGTGGAGCAGCGTCATACCTCCCCGGCTGGGTGCTTGGCTGCCCTCCTGCTCCACAGATTTCAGGTACAGTTGGAGTAGCTCCTTCGCTTGCCGTTGCTCTTCCCTGCGGTCTAGCGCCCCCTGCAGGGCTTCCTGGAGCATGCGTACTTTATCCACCTGGAAACCCAGAGCTGTTGCCAAGTCTGAAGATGGCACGTCCACCAGGGTCTGGGCCACACACACACACACACACACACACACACACACACACACACACAGAAGACACACCAAAACGAACCAATCAGGAATCCTCTCAAAACCTCCATACCACCATCATGTTCTCGGCTCCCCCCACCTCACTGTAAACCCCATCATCGCCCCGTCTTCAAGGGTCCATTTCCCACAGCAATTTTCTACACTCATCCATGGAATCAAGATTCATTTAAATGTAACAGTTGACCTTGGGTTTGCAGGAAAACGGCTTACAGCATACAAACAGCATTACCGCAGTAGGTATGGTTCTTAGGCTAAATTTACATGAAAATCCTCGGTATGATGTTATTCACACAGGCTAAAACTGTCGAAGCAGACTTTTGGGGATAAAAGTGCTTCTTCTTGACTATATTTTGCACATATAGGTTTTTCAAAAGGCACCTGGAGCTCCTCTTCAGACATGAGTATGACGCCGGCCAGGTCGTGGCTCAGCCTCACTGCCAGCTCATGCCAGGGCTCAGCACCAGGCACCTTGCTGTCCACGCAGTCCGAGGCCAGCTCTACCGATTCCTGCTTCAGCCAGGCGGTGCCGCCATCAACTGCAAGCAACAAGAAGCCAGCGGTCAGCAAACAGCCCCACGGGAAGCAAGAGGCATGCGAGCAGGGAGGAGCAGGGAGGAGCAGAGGAGGAACACGGCGGACATTAAACCGTACGAGCAGGGAGGAGCAGAGGAGGAACACGGCGGACATTAAANTTAAACCGTACGAGCAGGGAGGAGCAGAGGAGGAACACGGCGGACGTTAAACCGTACGAGCAGGGAGGAGCAGAGGAGGAACACGGCGGACGTTAAACCGTACGAGCAGGGAGGAGCAGAGGAGGAACACGGCGGAC